ATATATATATATATATATATATATATATAAATACATTTTCATTGCCAAATAGCATACCAAGTGTTTTATAAATAAATTAGCTTATATTACACTTCTCAAAATTGTTTTATGAAAAAATCAAAATGTGATTTTAAGCATATGTTATTATATTATTAAATACACATTTAATCATATATTAAATAAACAATGTATATAAAGTAAATATGCATCCTATTTAATAATTTAATTCACAAAATTATATAAACCCGCTTTCTCACCCAGTATTTCAACTCAAGTCATTAGCTAATGATCCCATCGGTTGCAAATCATCACCTGATAAGACATTGACGATAAAATGCACAACTCATGCTCTTTTCAAGTGTAAAAAATACACAACCTTATGTTTCCAAGCACGACCTGTATTACTTTAATGACCAAAAACGCACGGCTCATGCATTGTCAATAGCCACTTAGAAACTCGTCATACAAAGCATCCAACGATCTCTTAAATATGTTTTATTTTTGTTGCGGATTAGATCCCTTTGATCTAAAATCATTTACCTAGGCTATGTTAAATCAAGGATAATCCTTATTTATTTTTTAAGAAATAACAGTAATATATCTATTTCAATGATTTTATTAAGACATATTTCTCCGACCGACCATCAAATTAACCATACTATAAAACATGTTTATTAAATTAATGATTGCATTCGTCACTGCTTTTACATGCAAGAATATGTGGTCAATCCAACTGGTTCACTGCATTTCCTACTAACATCAAAGTTAGAACTGAATGTGATTTTACCATACAAACAAACCAAAAAAATCTACCCAAAAATGGGAGGTCATTGATTTTCGTATACATTGGAGAGGAACGAACAAAAAAACAAGAACAAGGGAGGAGGAGAGTTTGAGGTGGTTGATTTCCAATAGAGTTACGGTTTCGAGGGTTGCTCTTTCTGTCACCGAAAAGAAGAAGGAAAGCAATGGGCGAAGAAAGGAGATGAAGGTTCTTCGAGTTTGAGATGAACCTTGGGGAAGAAGATGTTGTATGCAAATTGTATTAATTAATATAATGTTTTAAAACATCGAATTGAAAACGAAAGAAAGACATTTAATTGAGTTTTTAAGGACGAAAAGAGAAAAAAAAAAAAAAAACAGAAATGAAAAAATAGTTTTTAAAGATCAGGGACTAAAACTGTAATAAACATGAAATCGTAAGGACTAAAACTGTAATTTACTGTAAAAACAAAAGAAAGACATATATATATATATATATATTAGAAGGAAGGAAGGAAGGAAGGATCATAAAAATTGAGAGAGAGAGATTGAAATATGGGTTTGTATTATTTTATTTTACATGTTTTTATATTTATGAATATGTATGGTTTATGTAATAGTTTTTTCATATTTAATTTTGACGAGATATTAATCCACTTTTAAAGGTTAGATTTGGGTTTGTTTGTTGTAGTCAATAAGAATTGGTTTGGTTAGGTTAGGTTAATTCTTTTTCCTGTTAAAAGTGAAAAATTATATTATAAATCTAATATTCTTGTATAAGCATAAGCGTAATTCTCAGTTTTTAATTCATTTGGATAACAGGAAAGGTGGGAATGAATGAATGAATGAATGAATGGTAAACACGAGGCAGCGATAGGCGCTGGCCAAACAAATTCAGACGCCCTACTGGAATTTCTTCAATGATTCGCCCACCATCCAGTTTCATCACAAGAAAGATTAAACAACACGCTGTTCGCTCCCTCTTCCAACAAGAATCCATCCATCGCTTTATCCATTTCAAACACGTAAACAAATCATCCAAAACCCGCATCAGATTCCACGCAAATTAGGATTCCATCCACCAAGAACCTTTTTACTTTCTTGCAAGACGCTATATCAGATAGGAAGAAGAGGCCGGTGGTGATATGGTAGCGGAAGATGGAGACGAGGCCAGCAGTAGGGGATCAAAACCCAATAAATCAGAAATGGTGATGATGCACTCCTACTGGTTGACGAATTTCCCCAGAGATCTGATGGCAGGGGCAATGATGGGCGGAATGGTGCATACGGTTGTAGCCCCAATTGAGAGGGCGAAGCTTTTATTACAGACCCAAGAGAGCAATATAGCCATTGTTGGAGGGAAGCACAGGAGGTTTAATGGTATGATTGATTGCATTGTTCATACGGTCAAAGAAGAAGGGGTTTTATCACTTTGGAGAGGTAACGGCAGCAGTGTTCTTCGTTATTACCCATCTGTTGCCCTCAATTTCTCTCTCAAGGTAACCCCCTCTTATTTGGATTCTCATTTCTTTGTATCTATGTTCCTTCATATGCATATGGAATGTTTGTGTTAGTGCCAAGAATAGTTAGCAAGACTTCTTTCTTCTTACTGTAAACTATTTCTTAAAACCTGATTGTATCAAGACCCAATGATTATGAATGAATACAAGAGTGTTGGCAATCAAAAGTCTAAAAGACAGTTTCTACATGAATCTTGATCCCAAGAAATACCGTAAAATGGTTAAACATTGGATGCATAAGCATGGATATCAGATGCTCTAGTTCAAGAAAACATGTTCATTATCTGTAAATTCAGGTTGCTGTGCCATGATAGATGTGTAGGATGTGTTTGTTTAGATTTCTTTGTTGAATACAGTTCCGTGTATGAATGCATGAGTTGGTGTTTGAATTATATGAGCGAGTGCAGATACTTGGATTTTGGGGTTCATTTGTGTCATAAAAGAGCCTCAAAGATGTTCAGAGAAAGATAAGTGTGGGGTGTCAAATCTTTTATAAAATTTAGTCGAGGGTTTGAAAAAATAAACTCAATGAGTGTAAGATACTAGATATAGTTGCCTTATAAGGGGATCCGAATTTATGCGTTTCCATATAGATTTTTCAGGAGATGGAAGCATTGATTGAAAGCTGCACGTTCTAGTTGTATTTGTCATGATTTGGAAGGTTTCGCATTATAAATTAGCTTGGCGTCCCGCCCTTGGCGTGGCTGTTAAGATAAAGATTATTGATGAACGCAATTGCTTTGGGAATGTCCATCGACTTAGGGGGCGTTTGATTTTGGCTTAACAGTTAAGCTATGTAGAGGTGTTTGACTACAACTTTAAGGATTAAGCCATTCTTAATTTGGTCGGCCACCTCATTCCATCTTTACACATTCGGCTGATTTTTTGTCCAAAAACACCTTTTTCCCCTTTCCTTGATTCTTCCATTTATGCCTTGTAAAACCTCCACTTTTTTCCAGCCCCCATCGCCAAACAAAAGTAGACACGAAAGCTCTCTGTCGTGCGTGCACGCCATTGGTGGTCTGCTCCCCCACTGCCCCCAAACCCTGCTTCTCTCTAAAAACATAAAAAGGAAAACCACAACCACCTGCTAATCGCCTCCCCCCCCCCCCCCAAATGACTTGTTTTCTTCCTATTGTTTCTCTCTCTGGCACAGTGGGGGCAACTCCGATGACAAGTCGTTGGCAGACACTTTCCTTGCTAAAATGATTTTAATTTGTGGGATTTGATTTGATTTGAGTGTAAGAAAAACATTGATTGAATCGGTGTTGCACAATCCAAAATTTTCCATTAGCTCCCAAACATTGATGATACGCTGTTGCACAATCCAAGATGATGAAATTCTTCTTTACTTACGTAATCTGATAAACAAAGGGTACATTGAGTATAGAATTGTGGATTCTAGGTGTAAATGGTAATGTATGTCATCGAGACTGTTTATTCAGTACAAAAAAACAAATACCAATTCATATTAATTCATATAGACAAGTTAATCCTTACAACCGGCTTAATCCATACCGAGCATAATAGAAAACAAAAACATACCGCTCTTCTTCTATTGATCATGACTATTTCACAAGCTCCACAAATTTAAAATATGCAGTAAGATGCACACCGTTGATTTCTTGTTTTAACTTTATCAATTTATTTTGTCGTTTATCTTCTTAAAGATCGCTTGCCCCTTAAAATGGTGTTTTATGCTTGTCTTGGAACATGTTCTAGATAAATGACATCTCAACACAATCCTCGTCTTAGCAGTTTAAAATGAATGTTTGGGAAATGTCTATGCAGATTCAGCAGGGAGATGATTGTTAAAACTTTGAAGGGTTTTTGGATCTTTACCTTTACTTCTCGTATTGTAGTCTTTAATTTGGAGTTTTCTTACCGATACAATATATAGAATAGTTAAATGATAACAGTGTTCTAGAAAGCATTTAGCAAAGCTAGGCGGTCGAGTGACCTTCTAGCGCATGATCACCTAAGCAGGGATTAAGCAAAAACATAAATGATTCATTTGAATACATATAGTATAATTATCTTTAGATTCGGCACCCAATGAAGCGGTCCTAGGCAAAATATTTAGAACTGTGTGATAATGATCAAGTGGGATCATGAAAATATTGAATTAGGATCATTATGTTCTGGATGAAGTTAGACTTATTTTGGGGAATTTTTCTAGTAAAGTTGCTCGACTGGCTATCTTGTAATCTTGATATATGGGCAGTGGACGTAAGGAAATAAGTTTCTCTTCATACCCAGGAATCTAAAAAGACTATGCTCCTAGTTTTGATAACTCTACTTTTTCTGATACTTGAGTAGTAGTTTAAGTTGTATTAAACATGAAAACTGTGCTTAAGCATCTATAATGTATTCTTTGAGACTAGCATCATGGGTTCTATCTTACGAATAGGCTACTTTTCCATGATTTCACAAATCTGCCAAGTAATTGATCTTATCTTTGGTTTGTCTGTATAAAGTTTTTTTGCATCCAGGCGTCGGGCTATTTTTCCGCAAGACCTTCCCTACAGTAGGGTCACCAAAGTAGAGTTTAACCACCAAGTACGGGATTGATTGGTGTGGTTCCTCTACGCCTAGGACACCAGAATATTAAACCATGAACCAAATCGCCATAGAGTAGCAACCCGTCTCATAAATATATATATATATATATATATATATATTAATACGCACAAGTTATTGTAGTCCAGTTCTCTTTGCTCAATAGCATCTTTCACCTGGTTTTAACACATAAGAGAGAGCAAAGAGGTTGATGCTGGGAAGAGTCTAGTCAGTACTCCCTTTTTATGGAAAAAGAATGAAAAATGCTTCTGCTAATTGAATGTATTATTTGGCCAAAAAGTTGGTTACTGGCAATCCTAACGGCCCCACATGGAACCTGCCTCCAAGGACACCAATGTGAGGGGTCATTTTTTGGCTCAGTGGCTCACTCTGAGGCTAGCCGGGGGCTGGGATCGAACCCAAAAACTTGTCTTGTATTTGGGCAAACTCACCCCACCCCTTTGCCCAATGAGCTACATGCCAGAGGCAATTGAATGTACTGTTATCTGATTCTATATTAGATAACATAAATTTGTAATATTTAAAAATGATTAAAACAGGTGTAATCTTTTCCTTTGAACACACATAATGCACGAGTAAGATACCATATGAGACTACCCCTTTAAGTTGAGTTACAGACACTTTGAATTCCAGTGACTTTTGGAGGTAACTCATGAGCATAGTCGTTCGGATTGTATTTATTAGCATCTATCTGTCTTGCCCTTTTGGATCACGAAAGCCTTCATTTGCTTATTTGTGCATTTTGGTTCCATTTAAATTAAATGATTAGTAGCATAAATGAGTTGTATTGTTTCTGTATTGGTTAATGTTAACAACTCCACATTCCGCAGGACCTTTACAAAAGCGTTTTGCGCAGCCGCAGCTCTCAACAGTCTACTTTCTTATCCGGTCCACCTGCCAACTTTATTGCCGGGGCTGCAGCCGGCTGCACAACGTTAGTCATCATCTACCCTCTGGATATTGCACACACTCGGCTTGCTGCTGACCTCGGAAGAATGGAATCCCGCCAATTTCACGGCATTCGCCACTTCCTCGTAACAGTCTGGGCCAAGGATGGGATCCGTGGAATCTACAAAGGCCTCCCGGCATCTCTTCAGGGAATGGTGGTTCACCGTGGCCTTTATTTTGGCGGGTTTGATACGTTAAAAGAAAGAATGTCGAAAGATGCTCCATCGGAAGTGGCGTTATGGAAACGCTGGATCGTTGCTCAAGCCGTGACGTCGTCTGCTGGACTTTTATCATATCCGATGGATACTGTGAGGAGACGGATGATGATGCAATCGGGAATAGAACAACCCATGTACAGAAGCACTTTGGATTGCTGGAAAACGATCTATTCGACGGAGGGGTTTAGGTCGTTTTATCGGGGGGCACTTTCGAACATTTTTAGAAGTACAGGGGCTGCAGCGATATTGGTTTTGTATGATGAGGTGAAGAAGTTCATGGACTGGGGTGGATCATAGCATCCCCTAACAAGTTGTAGGGAAGAGTTAGAGTAGGATTATACCGATGATAGAATGATACAGTTTAACGACATATTCATCAGTAGCTGTTACAAATTACAATCATCAGATTTTGATAATGAATAAACCTAGATTGAATCTCTAAGATTCAGATCCAAGATCAACAACTTTGACTTTAGATAACTTGTTGGTTTGTTTGTTTGTCATAAAATACTATTATCTCTCAAGATGCACAAAGTTCGGGCTTTTACGGGTCGAGGCCCCGACCTTATAAGCCCATTGTTATGTGAACTAAAGGCCCTAGCTTTTATAGGCCAGGCCGGACTGGGCTTTGGGTTGAAAGGGCTTGAGTGGGTTTTTTCTGGACCGGGCCTGCACTCAAAGTTTTGGTTTGATCAAACTTTAAGGTCCGATCCAAATACGTTCATTAGGTCCGGCCTTTTTGTCAAAATAATTTAAATTTAAATGAATAATTTGGTTGGATATGAATTGTCGTGGTATTTAAAGTGATTTTCATGTTAGTGTGGAGGTGAAGTCATCCATGGCCTCGGGTTCCTTGTGGTTTTTATAATTTTGGTGCTTTTGGTTTTTAGCATAACATTCATTGGAGGGAATCTTACCAAACATAATGACACACAACCATATTAATAATACATGTAGTTTAGTGCTACTTCAAGTTTTATTACAAAATATATATATATATATATATATATATATATATATAAGTTTATTTCATGTTTTAAAATCGTGCGGGATTATATTGTAGTTAATAATGAAATTTTGATCATAAATTACCAAGCAATCTATATACGTAAGATTTGAAGTATTTGTGATTGATATACAGATGTAAGTGTTACGTATTTTTGTTATTATGTGACAACGTGATTTTAAAAAGAAAGGCGAAGTTGTTATCTGCAACAGATTTTGGATCTGAATCTAATAGATTCAATCTAGGTTTGTTGGTTAACAAAATATGATGAATGTACACCTGTCATCGTACTGTATCATTTTATTCTTTGATATAATCCTATTCTAACTCTTCCCTACAACTTGTTAGTCCATGAACTTCTTCATCTCATCATACAAAACCAAGATCGCTGCAGGCCTTATACTTGTACACGTGTTTGTAAGTGTCCTAGAATAAAACGACTTTGTATGTTATTTTCCATGCCTCTAAAAACAATTGTTAAGTATTTCACTTTGAAACTCATAGCCTTTGTATTGCCTTACAAAGTATCGACTATTTAAACAAACACGTTTATACTGAGTTTTTTGAATTACCATACTGTATTTTAATACATATCTTTTGGTAACTTTAAGCCTTCAACATCAAGAATCAATAATAACGGTCAAATCATTAATTGGTTTTTTAAACTGAGAAAGAGTATAGGTGTTTTAAATTAGTGTAAAGATAAAATTAATTTTAATAGTGAATAATAAAGAGAGGGAAAAAGGGTGATGTAGACCAAAACCAAAGCACCCCATTATAGAACTTGGATTCATTTTGCTTTGCAGCTTGCAATTGCCATTGCCATCATTATTATTTCCTTATTGCGCTCAAAAGATTCATTATTAGATTCTTTTGCTTCTTACCTCATATTTGTTGGATTCTAGAATGGGGTCATGTCATGTCATGTGTCCAAATTTTATACACTTAATTATTGTATTTTTTTGTTAAAAATAAGAGAAACAAAACTTTCATATATATATATATATATATATTCAAATACTTTCATCTATATTTTAACTATCTTTATTTGTTTATTTTTATCATCATAATCGAAACTTTAATAATGTGAAAATTATTAAATATAAGTAAAATAGAGTTAAAAGTAGAGATAAATTCACAATCTACTTATTTTTTAATAATTTTGTTTATTATTTTTTATTTGTATTTTTTTAATGTAAATAAGGCAATGTTTTCTACAAAATTAAAGTGCGTTTGGTAAGGTTGTTCTATTTTTTAATCAAAAAATAAGATGAGAATTTTGATGTCAAACATATGATTTAGATGGGGTTTAATAAACGTTTATTGAACACTCGCAACAAAAATTATCTTCATTTACTTTATCATCTAATACTTTCGGTCATTGAAATAAATTGTTGGTAAGCGTCTTTAAACTCGGTAAGTGATCAGATTAGTTTATTTCACTTATATAGTATGAATCTTGGTCTTTGTTATGCTTCTTTCAAAGTAAGATTCTTGTCTTTGTTATGCTTATTATAGGGTAAGATTTTTTTCTTTGTCATGTACAATCGGTAAGGTAAATGATATCTTAGTACTTACCGGTAAACATTTCGGTAAGAATCTAGCCATAGGTTCATTTGACAAGTGTTAAATATTTCAGAACTAGTAAATATTTGAGAAGTAGATAAGTAATTTTAGCCCTTCATCTGGTCAAGATTTGCAGCTTTGGCTATGAAACACCGGATAATTCTCGCATGGTATACGAAAGATAGAGGATATTTCGTAACTTTAACAAATATGCGGCAAAACAAGTGCATATGTGAACTTTTGTGATTCACATATGAACTAATTAACTGATTTATATATAAATTTATGTAATTCACATATGCACTTACGGGTACATATATGCATTTGTTTGCCGCTTATTTATAAAAGTTAGGAAATTGTTCCTCTAATTTTTATTTGACCAATCAAAACCATAATTCTTAAACAATTTTGATGGTATAAAAAAATAATATAATATATCTACTCCTGAAATATAAGAAAGTAAACAAAAGACGATGAGTCATTTATTAAAAATAATATGAATTAAAAAGGAGGAGGATTGTAGATGATGTCATGATTGAGAAAGAAAGGCAAAGGTAAAAAAGGAAAAGGAAAAGGAAAAAAGGGAATTTGACATGAGGTCTTGGCAATTGGCATCTCCCATCACATCCTTTTTTTAGCTTCATTTGGAAATAAAACCATCCATCATCTATTTTATTTTATTTTTTTTAACTATAAATAAATATCATCAACATCAATAATTGGTTTGTTTTTATTATTTTTTTTTCAAATTTTAATAACTTTTTTTAAGGAGGAATTTTTTATTATATAATAATATATTAAACGTTTTGGTTAAGGAAGAAATTGATTTGGAAATAGTGAAAATGATACTGTAATCAAATGTAAGGGATGGTGCATGATGAAATTATGTACTTTATGCTTTACAAGAACCACCACTCCATGACCGAGGGAGAGATAAAGGAAGTGCCACGTGCCAGATAACTGCTTACGTCATCCCCAACTACCAAATAACTATGCTTGTTTTCATCCCTCCTTCCTTCAAGTTCATGGTAACATACATTTTGCTTTCACTACAGGGATTACATGTTTAGTCCCTGTAGTTTGGTGAAAATACAAATCAGGACTTTCAAACGAAGTACTCGTCATCATGGTTTCTATTTTATTCACCGATAACATCATTTCTGTGAATGTTGTTTGTATATATATATATATATGTTAACCCGGTAAGTACTTATTGATTGCTTAAAAAATCAATTTAAATTATGAATTATTTGTTGCCATGTGTTCCTCCGTCTACCGTCCTTTTCCCCTTCTGTCTTCCACCGTTCAACCATCTTTGTCGTCCCCACAACCATTTGTTTTCTCTTATTACCCCAGCCACAACTATTTTCGTTTCAAGGGTCTCACTCCTTACTTTTACTAAACTACATATACTTAATTTGCTCTTTTCAGATATTTCTAATCAAAAAATCTGAATTTAAAGAATTTTATATTCTCTTTCTTCATTGTGGTGGAGGAAGGACGTTTTAAATAATATATTAGAGTAAAAATATTATATTAGAAAATTTGTTTGTTAGTTGATTATAATATATTAAATCAGATTTGTATTTGTATTTTTCTTTTTCTTTTTTAAAGAAAGAAGGTACAAAATATAATAATAAAATAAATAATATTCTATGAAATAAATATAAATGAATTGGAAAAATTGAATGTGTCTTGAAGGAAGAGAGGTGAAAACGGGGAAGGTGAGAGAGTGTTGTTGGTTTGGGTTTCAGCTGTGGGCGTGACGTCAATGATGGGATTATTTTTGCTGGCGTTTCCACGTTTGAAGTCAAGATGACGTCATATGCCATTCATTGACAACTGGGTGGGTCCCACCATTACCCATGTGATCGTTTTAACGTCAAATTTTTACCCGACCACCCCCACCCCCACCCCCATTCGCATTAACGGTTCTCACGCGCCTCCCAACCATTAAATATTCAACTCCAATCTACCATTCTTCAATTACTAATAACACATTCTACAAACAAAGTCTTTCAAATCAAAATTTAATTCAACTTCAACAAATACAAATCTGATTTAATATATTATTAAAATATTTTTTTATTCTAAATATCTATTTTCAATGTATTAAATATTGTTTCTCTCTTGTTATAATTATTTTTAGGGTGTTATTTAAATTTCAAGATTTTTACATTATATTCTTGCCTTTTCTATCTTGAAGAATATGTTGGAACACACATAAAATCTTCAAAATCTCTATTGTTTTTCATTTTAAATAATCTGTTAAAAATGATTTATATTTTATATATCAATATAAACAATTTATTTCTAATGAAATCATTCTATTTACAAAATATATTCTAAAAAATTAACAACATTTAACATGCATACTAAATTTTATTATATCGCTAAATTATATTTAACCTTTGATTATAAATATTTATGCTAAATCCTGTGAACATTGGTTGGTTTGTTAAATAAATCCTTAATATTATAATATATTTTACTTTATTATACATACATACGCATACATATACACACACATATATAGGGTTAGGTTTCAATGAGAAAAAAAAATTATAGTGAAAAACGTAAGAATATATATTCACCGTTGAATCAATCTTAATTGAATGTCAACATGAATGAGGTGCACCGATATGTATCGGATCAATTTCTTTGTAAAACGCAATTCATGGGTGACAATGAGATTAAAATGAAAATGCAAATGCTAAAAAACACCATCCCTATTCCTTATTGGATATCAAAAAGCCAAATTGAAGCAAATCTTGGTGGCCATCCATAGTATCAAAAACTAGAGTTGAAGCCAAAACCACATAACTTTGATTTTGATTTTGTTTTTGTTTTGCCAC